CCCCCCAGTGCCGCCGCAGGGGCTGTTCAGCATATCTACATTTGCCCTATCACTGTGGGTGTGACTGTGGGTGTGGATTGAGGCTGGGGGCGGCGGAGGGGAGCCGCTCGCGGGCGACCGCCGCCCGCTCCCGCAGACTGTGCATCTCGCGCCGGACGACTGCGCGCTCCCAAAACCACCTTCCTCACCCGTCCCGCCGCTGTCGCCCTCTGACCTTTGGGCTTCCGCCCCTCCTCCTGCCGCCCTTCGGCGCCTTTCATGCGGATCGCGACTCTTAGGCTGCTAGTCTTCAGGTGGGTGGACAGAAATGCAGACTGCGGCGGCCCCGGCGCGCCCCGTTTTTCAGACCCTGCGCGCAACATCTCCCGCCGGTTTCCTTGTGTAACTGCAGCACCTGCAGTGAGGATCTTTCCGGGCGTTCGCCTCCGTTCCCTGCTCTCGCAGGACCAACAGCAGTTATGAGCGGTGGTGGGAGGCGTGCACTGCCTGGAACCAGGTGGGGCCGGTGCGGATGATGCACCAGCAGCAGCAAAAGGGACAGCTGCAATGCGGCGGCAGCAGCAGCAGCAGCAGCAGCAGCAGCAGCAGCAGCAGCAGCAGCACCAGCGAGAAATCCAGCACCGCGATGAGGGCCGCCATGTCCCCCATTAAGGCGTGACCCCGGTGCAATTGTCATTTTTTGCGGCGCCTTTGTTTTCGCTGCCCAACTTTCCCTCTCCCTTCTCCAGTGCATTCCACCACCACCATCATCACCCCCACACACTCGCACACACAAAGACTCACAAAGCTGGCGCGCTCTGCATCCGCCTGAAACCCTGGCCGCCCACCTCCCCCGCTTCCACCTCTCACGCACACCCCAAAAGGTCGTCAGCGCGTGCTGCCACCTCGCTCGCCAAGCGCTGCAGTGGCTGCCCTCCCCGGCCGACGCGCGCGTGCGCGGCGCGATGCTGCGGTGGCTGCGCGCCTTCCCGCTCGCCCTGATGTGCCACGTGCGCGAGGAGCGGGGCCGCCTGCCGCACCTTTTGGAAAAGTGGGTCACCCCCCTCGGCCGTTAGTGCTGTCAGCTAGCCGTTCCGCGCCCGGCCTTTTTTCTTGGGTAATTGAGGGTGTCTGACCCGCCCCTTACAACCGCCAAGCGCTCTGCCACAGGACACGCGCTCCAAAAGGATCGCCCACTGCTCATCACGATCCCCACCTTTCGCGCACGCCCCACCCCCCAGGGTGTTGCTGCCGGAGGAGCGCGCGCTGGTGCTGCGCTCCCCGACGCCGCCCCAGACGGTCCTCAGCGTGCTGGGGTCGCTGCTGGCGGGCAGCCGCATGACGATCGACACCAAGACGCACGCGGTGGGCTTTGGGGCGATGCAACGGGAGGTTGACGGGAGGGGCTGCGCTCGCTGCGGGTCAACGGGGGCGCGACCTGCCGTCTGCCGGATGTCCAGACAGTCAGCGTTCTGTGTTCAGGTTCAGGGGCTTGTGGATCGGGATTCAGATGTGCAAGGCGTTGCTTGGTTTCCCTGCAACGCGCAGGGCTGATGGCGGCCCACCCGCAGCAGGATGCCCCTGCTCGCAGCGCAGGCCTGCTTGTTGCCCTTTCAGCAACGCCCCCCCCCCCAAAGCACACCCGCACACGCGCGCCGTCCTCCCTCAACCCTCTGCGTCGCCGGCTTGCAGGATGAGTCAGTGCGGCGGCTGCAGGGCTCCTTTGACGCCTGCGAGAAGATCCTGCGCACTCCCCTGCCCCTCAGCTACTCCAGGTGGGGCCTCCTTCTGTCAGATCAATGCACACGCGCACGCGCGCGCACACACACACACACACTATCACACACACATTATCACACACACATTATCACACACACACACACACACACATTATCACACAAACTATCACACACACAACCACATACAAACACACCCATGTGGCACCCAGCGATCATGCTACTCAGGGCTGCATGCTTCAGCGGACGACGAGCTCAATTCTAGACATGGGCACACTGCCTCTGGGCAGGCAGAAACTACAATTCTTGCAGGAAAATGATGACCAACACGCGCTTCAAAGTGCCCACAAGACCCTAGAGATGCAGACGTGCATGCTCTCAAGCATGCGGCATCCATGTCTCATCCACGCCTGGCAGGCACACGTCGCGGTTTTTGGTGACCTGGCTGATGGCGCTGCCTTTCTGCACCTGGCGTGAGCTCGGCTGGGCCACCCTCCCCGTCACCCTCGTCATGGTGCGGTGAAAGTGTGATGGGGGTGGGGCTGGGGCGGCGTGGCTGCTGCCAGGGTCCGTCAAGGACCGGGGCTAAGCGCCCGCGCAGGGCAATCACTGCTCGTGGCAACCCCTTCCTTGTGTGCACGGCTGCTGAGCACACCTGCAATCGGGACGGCCCGGCCTCCTGTGCTCTGAGCCCTTTCCTCCCCTGTGATCGCCGCCACCACCCCGTCCTGATGCCAGGGCTTCTTTCTCCTGGTGAGCGCCAGCTCTCTGGGGGCGCGCCGCCGCGCGGAGGGACCAGCGCCGCCCCGCAGGCGGCAGCGTCCTGGCGCGCTTCCCTGCCTTGCTGCACGGTCGAGCCATAAGCTTTTCGACCGTCCCCGGCAACCGTGAGAACGCAACTATATCCAATCACGTATGCGCACAACTTGCTGTGGCTGCAGGGCATAGAGGAGATTGGCGTCCAGGTGGAGGAGCCCCTCTCAATCCTGGCGCTGGAGGTGGGTGCCATATATAGTCTTGTGTGTGCGTATGTGTACAATAGACGCACATGTACAGGTTCAAGAGTTTGCGGCCGCAGCAGCACTGCATGAAACGCGGCAACATGGCAGCTCGGCCGGGCCGCGCGCGTGCCGGCTCGCCCATGGCGTTTGCGCTGCCCCAGTGCCGCATCCAGTACGAAGGCAGCGCACAGGGGCAGCCGGGCACCTGCCTGATGCCCCCCTCACTGTGTCTCTCTGGAGCCTACGAAATTGCATGCGATCAACGCCATGATGCAGATTACCAACTACAAACACACACACACACACACACACACACACACACACATACATACACGCACAAATTCACACACATTCACGCACACACTTGCGCGCATTTGCACACTCGCAGCACTGGAGCCGCGTGGTGGAGGACCGGATCGACCGAATGGAGGAGGAGCACGCCGCCGTCCAGGCCGTTGCCAAGGATGCACTGCGGCAGGATGACCCCCCGTCTGCCGCCAGCGAGGGGTGCCCTCAGCCGGCGTTCGCTGCGTGACGGCGCGGCGGCGTGCCGCTCGTCCTGCGCTCCCTGGGCAGCCCTCTGAGGGTCCAGGCCTCCACACGGCCCAATCTTGGGCCGCCAGGGCCAGAGGGCCTCGCGGCGCACCAAGGCCCCACCATTCCTTTGTCCTGCCTGACAGGCGGCTGTTGCTTTCCTTGTGCGTGCGCGCATGTGCTCGCGCATGCATGCTGGTGTGTGTGTGTGTGTGTGTGTGTGTGTGTGTGTGTGTGTGTGTGTGTGTGTAATCGTCTCTCGCGTGCGGGCGCCTTTTGTCCTGTTGTTCCCGTCATGAGCGCACCCAATTAGGGGGCCTTGGTTGCAGCGAGAAAGCCCATTCGCAAGAGCACGTTGATGTGTTGCGCGAGAGGAATCCACAAAGGGAGTCATGCTGGTCCCCCTTGGCTGCTGGTGTTCCACGCGCCACGGCGGGGCCATACTGTGTCCCCCGATCTCACCGCAGCCATGGGACCACAGGCAAGCTGTGCACTGCCCCATGCAGCACCGTATGTTTCTGTGCTTGCTGTGCTGCCATCAGTCTATCTACACCTTAGTGTGTTGTTTCCCGTGCGCAGCTATGAGTGATGATAGATAGGTCCTGTTACCAGGATCGACGTATAGATGCCAAGTCATTTCTCACTGCCATTTGCAGTCGTCGCCGGCTGCGCATCTGAGGCTGCACCCCTTCAGGCGTCGCAACCCGAGGCGCAGCCCAGCGTACGCGCTGGTGCACTTTGATGTGCTTGCGTGAGCCGCATGCTGGCGCGCTGGCACAACTTGATCCAGAGGCGCTACTGCGCTGCACTTCCGTGCACACCCAATTTGAAGCCGCATTCAGCACCTTGCTTGGCTGCAATGCACCCACAACATGTTCTAAAATTTGAGAGTGTGTGGAATGCATGACTGCCACTCTCAGTCCGTCACAAGCCCATCCGGCCCCCCCAAAAAAGTCACGCTCACCCCATGCACAATTGACCCCATCCTGCCTGTTTGTAAGTTGGACAAACGCCCCGCGTGGAGAGTGCGCTTACGTGGAAACAGCATGATACTGGGTTTCAGCTCTGATGACTGCCTGGGCTGCTGCGTGCCTGTGCAAGCATGAGGGCCGCATCCCCATCAACAGAGCCTGGAAGCGATGTTTCTCACCTGAACCAGCGGCCATCTGGCAGGTTGCCTAATCACGGGTGTTTTCATTCACCTGCTGTCCAGATAGCGCAGTGATATGCTAAGGATGGGAATTTGCGCAGAATGGTGATATGCTCCAAAGTAGTCTGCCACGTGCATGTATTGCCTTGTCTCGAGCCCAAGGCGTGGATGCTGCACCGAGGGTGCACGCAGGACCCTGATGAGGAATGCGCCTCGTCTGTCGGCCGCTCCGACCCACCTTGCAGCTGAGTTGATTGTGCCGTACATATGACCATCATTCATTGATATACAGTATAATATTGTCGGGAGCAGAGTACGGGACTTCGGATCTGTCCGTTGCAACGCGCCTAAAGGATGGGCGCTGCGGGCTCAAATGTGGGCCAAGGTCGAGTGATATTGATGTCACTGTAACGCGCTCTGAGCCGTGCCTGCTTCCTGTGCGGCTCAGGCGGCTCCTCGGCCCTGACACTGACGTGCCCGCACCGACCTTCCAACACACAGGCCCGTGCCGGCGTGCTGGCGCCGGCGCCAGCGACCGCCCCGGCTCGCACCCAGCCTGTGGTAGCAGCATGGAAGAATGGTCTTTGGCTGCATATCAAAGCAGGCCCAGGAATGCCGGCCCCTGCTGTGCGTACCCTGGTGCGCGCAGGTCTGGGCCAGCAACGAGGCTGAGCGGTCTCATTGTCATTGTTGCAGCCGCCTGCTAATCATGACGCCGATGCTGCCGGGACCCCACTTATAAACCTGATTGTTCCTCGCTTTGCATATTTCTTTGCACCCAAGAAAGCAGGCGCATGCCGCAAACAATCCTCAACTGAAGGTTAACCCCTGTCCGCCTGTGCCACAACCGCACCCCCAGGAGTGCACCATCTGCTGCGAGATCAAGCCCACATCCGCCTTCCCCCCCATCCACTCCGCCCCAACCCCGGCCGCGGACGCCGACGCCGCCCGGGCCCCGTCGCCTGCTGCGCACGCCGTCTGTGGCGCCTGCCTCCTCCGCCACGTGCGGCAGGAGGTAAACGGCAAGCGCCGCACGCGCGTCGCGTGCCCGGCGGAGGGGTGCAAGCAGGAGCTTGGCCCTGGGGATTTGGCGCGGCTGGGCGCGGGCCGCGGCCTGGCGGTCGACCTCGAAGATAACCAATTCCAGGCCTGGCTCAAGGCCCAGCCCAACTTCAGGTGCGCGGTTTGAGACAGGCGCAGACGCGAGGCGTCGCAGGCGCGGCCCTCCACAGCAAGAGTAGCTGACCCCATTCCTGATTTGGCTCTCTGTTCTGATTTCGGCGGTCGTCAAGAAGGCTAGTCTACACTCAACGGCTCAGCAGCAGAGGACCTAGTGTGCTGCAATTTGGCTGGTCGCAGTAGGCACCAGATGTAGCCGTGGTTGGTGGTGCGTACCTGCTGCAAACACGCAATTGGCGTGCGTGGGATGGGCCCCCCATGACTACACCAAACCGCGTGCACGATCTCTACCACTGATGCCCAAAGTTGCCCCCCTTTGCGACCGCACGCAGGTGGTGCGCCCACCCCGGCTGCGGCGAGGGTCTGCTTCACGAGGGCGGCGCCGGCAGCCCCGTCATCATGTGCCCGTCCTGCCGCCGCCGCACCTGCTTCAACCACCGCGGCCCCTTCCACGACGGCCAGACCTGCGAGCAGCACGACAGGGCGGCGGCCGCCGACCTGGCGTGGTTCAAGGCGCACGCAAAGCGCTGCCCGCGCTGCGGCGAGGGGATCCAGAAGCAGGGCGGGTGCGATCACATGACGTGCCGCAGGCCAAGCGGCTGCGGGCACGAGTTCTGCTGGGTGTGCCTGGCAGATTACGGGCCCATCAGGGCGCACGGCAACCACCACCACGAGAAAAAGTGCAGTTACTACCGCGCAAAGCGCGGCTGATGGGAGGGCAAAGCAGGACGTGACAGCAGCGGGTGCAGCTAGGGAGCCAGGCTGGCCGGCGGCAGACTCAAGGTGGCAATGCATTGTCAGCACAGCAGCAGCAGCAGCAGCAGCAGCAGCAGCAGCAACAGCAGCAGCAGCAGCAGCAGCAGCAGCAGCAGCAGCAAGGCAGGGTGCGTCTCGGCAGCCTTTTTAATTGCATGACCTGCTGGCACCGTCTCCAGCGTTGGGGTGTCGGCCATTGCGGCAAGGCGCGCTGCTGGTACGCAAATATGATGCAGCCGGCACTGATAATGAGTGAACCATTGCATGCATAGTTGCCCCAACAATTGCTTGTTGCCAATGCATTGTTATTTGCAATGTATCAGTGTACATTACCAACCAACGCACTGTAAAAACTGCAAACACGATCCCACTCACAAAGAGGCTACAATGGCAGACAGAGCAGTGGATGGGGAATGCCAGGGAGAAAAGCAGCCTTTGTCAACAACAGGTTCAGCACGCTCGAGAGGCATGGGGTGGATGATGCTACAGACGTGATTGAGCCAGCCAACGATGTTGACGCGATTGCTGAGGCCTGGGGAGGCCACTTCCAAATTGATTGTGAGACAGCCATGCAGCATCTGCATGAGGATTCAGCTCATCGCATGCCATCATCTCATTGCATGCGCTGCGAGGTGCGAGCAGGCTCGGCCTGCAAACAAGGGCACCGTGTCGTCACCCGCACCTGGTCGGTACAGTACCTAGTCGGCACGCAGTTCAGCCGCTCATTACCACGTGGTCCTCCATCACCACGACACCACCACGAGCGTTACGTATATGGGCGATGTTGCTTTTGTTTAGAATGAAAGCAGCCCCTTAGACGCTCGATGAGGGAGTCACTGTCGCATCCAGATCGCAGGCACCAAATAGCTTGCAGACGCAACTTTGTTGAAGTGCTGAGAGATAAACACCGAACTGAGCATGCATATCATCTCCTAAAAGCAGCCTCAGATCGTTGACTTCAAAATCAATTGTGTACACTTTTGAGGCAGAGCAGCAGCGTGCATACGCGTGGAAAAGGTCGGCTGAGCACGATTCCGTAATGCCTGGCGCAGCGGTGGAGCTGATCCGCTACAATGCCGAAACGCGGCGTTTCGAGGTCGGACCGCTCGCGCTGGATGTGCTGCGCGCGACGACCACGCCAGTGGCAGTCGTCGCCGTCTGCGGGCGCGCGCGACAGGTGCGCAAGCCATTCGGCACCCTGGGTGGCAGCTTCAGGGTATCGACGGGCTCCTCAGAGGGCAGCTAACATGCCCTACTTCTTGAAAGTAGCAGCTATTCCCCTGCAACTGTGTCCCCCCACGCGGCAAGCTTTCCCAGGTTCGATACCGTAAACGATAAGATTATGACATAGAGCCTCTCCCCCTCCACCTAGGGCAAGTCCTTCATCCTCAACCAGCTGCTGTCGGTGACGGCCGGCTTCCAGATTGGCAGCACGCACCGGCCCTGCACCAAGGGCCTGTGGATGTGGTCAACGCCGCAGGCGCGCACTGACGCGGACGGCAACCCATACCACCTGGTGCGCGGCCGCTGAAGGTGCCTCGGCACACACGCGCACCGGCAGCATGGCGGTGTTGCATGTGACGGCCGCGCTGCGCACGCACGCGCATGCTGTAGTGGACAACGTGAGCAGCCTGCGAATGGGCTGCTGCATGCGCGCTCAAGCGTGTCAAGCGGCCAGTCTCCAGGCACGTGATGCTGCGTGCTGGATAGTATAGGAAGTCCTCGACAGCATCAGCGTGCGCGCTGCTGGCGCGCAGGTGCTGCTGGATACGGAGGGGATCGACGCGTACGATCAGGTGCGGCGCGAGGCACCCGACAGTGGACGCGCCAATACGCAGTGCCGGCGCGGCTGACATGAGCAGATGCAAACGTGCTGCATGACATGTATGGTAGTTGAGTCCAGCGAGCACCACCTCAACAGCCCCGTGCCTCCCTGGGTTGCTCACCCCCTTGACCAAGCGCATATCCGCCCTCGCTTCTTTAACCCCCAGACAGCCCAGTACAGCACGCAGGTGAGGGGGGGGGGGCATACGCAAGGCCGCCGCGAAGCATAAGAATGACATGTAACTCAGCAGCCGCCTCACTCTGTTGCATGGCCTGCCCTTGGCCTCAGTTGTGACACCTGACGCAGCATGCCACGCCACGCGCCAAAACCCATTCCAGATCTTCAGCCTGGCCGTGTTGCTTAGCAGCCTGTTTGTTTACAACCAGGTACCTGGGGATGGGACGGGAGGAGCGGCATCAGCAACAGCCGCTGGCACGCCGCACTCTGCGCATCTGCATAGCTCAGTGCGAGCGGATTCTGGTCGGGAGACCCCCCAACCGCTGCCTGCCCCAAAAGCCCCCGGCAAGGCATCTGCTCTGGTGCCATAACCGCACTGCGCCCCCCACCTTGCCCGGGACCGCCAGATGGGCGGCATTGACGAGGCGGCGCTGGACAGGTGGGCGCAGGGCGGCTGGACTTGGCCGACGGGTCGCTTTGGCTGGTGGGGCCTCCTGCTGGCAGGTCAGGTGCCAAGCTCACACAGGCCTGGTGGCGCCTCACTTCTTGGGACGCTCACGCATGGCGAAAATATCTCGCAGGCTGAGCCTGGTGGTGGAGATGTCGAAGCACATCAAGGTGCGCAGCGGCGCGACTCACGGCGCTAACGGCGTCAGCAGCGGCGGCGACGGCAGCGCCGCCAGCAGCACGGCAGGCGCCGCCGCGGGCGGCGACGACGCGGCGGCGCGGGAGCTGCGGCGCTTCACGCCCAGCTTCCTTTGGCTGCTGCGCGACTTTTATCTGAAGCTCGAGGACGAGCACGGCCGCAAGGTGGGCGGCGGGAGGGCGTGTTCATACATTTGGCGCATCGCCGTCGATGTGGCAGAGCGCGATCGGCGTGGGCCGGCCGTGCCCGCCACCGACTCTTCCGTGCGACAGGCAGCCGCTGTGTTGTTTGTGATCAAGGGCAGGCGTCTCCTGCCCCATGTACGCCAAGCGCTTACGCGCCAACATACACACACACACACACGGACGCCCGCACGCACGGACACACATGCGCACACGAACACGCACGCGCACACGCACGCACGCACGCACGCACGCACACACACACTAAACACACACGAAACACACACTTGCCCATTCCCTTGCCGCAGGTGACTGCGCGCGAGTACCTGGAGGCAGCGCTGACCCCTGTGGCCGGCGGCGGCGCCGGCGTGGACGCCAAAAACGCGATCCGCAGCTCCATCAAGGGGCTCTTCCCGGACAGGTCCGCCGCCACCATGGCGCCCCCATCCAGCCCTTTCCGCCCGCCGCCACCCCCTCGCCGCCCAACCGCCCCTGCAGCATCCCAGGCTGCCAGGTTACCCCCGGCTGCCTCGCCGCCAGTCTGGCGACGTGCCCGCCTGCACGCTGTTGCGCAGCCGAGCAGAGGCTGACGCGCGCGGGCTCACTCCTTGTCCATGCACTGGGGTGCGCCCGCGGCTCTGAGACCTCCCCAAACCCTGAACCCTGAACCCTACACCCTGGACCCCGCCCTTGGCCCCGCACGCAGGGACTGCGCGACCCTGGTGCGCCCCATGCACGAGGAGCAGGCCCTGGTATCTCTTGACACGACGCCGCGGGAGGAGCTGCGGCCCGAGTTCAAGGAGGGCGTCGCGTGGCTGCTGCGGGTGCGGGCGGCTCTGGGGCCGCGGCCCGCGGACGGCCTGGCCCACGTTGGGGCCCACAGCCATCCCCATGTGCGGGGCGGCCCTTCCACCAGGCCAACCAGAAGCCTTCAGCCCTTCCTGTGCCGCCCCATTGGCCAGGACGCCTTCACGACAGCTGCTCGCTCCGCGAATGCACGCGTGTTTCGCGAACCAAAGCCGCCGCCCCCTGCCGCAGCTGATCCTGCTCAAGGCGCAGCCCAAGCGCCTGGGCGGCTTTGTGCTGACTGGGCCGGTGCTGGCCGGTCTGACTGAGGCGTATGTGGCGGCCATCAACGACGGCGCAGTGCCCACCATCGCGACGGCCTGGCAGGCGCGAGGGGGCGGGGCCAAAGCCCTGGCAGTGCTGCAGCCTGCGGCTGTACCATCCCGCCAGCAAACCGAGTCTGCCTGTGCATGCGCTGTGAACGCGCCGCCCCTGCTCAGACGCCTGGGGCTGGGTTGTGGGAGTTGCCGCCTTGTCCACGGCGAACGCCGCCCGCGCCTCGCGGCACCGAACTGGTGCAAGGGGTGATGTTGACTTGTGCTTGCGCGTCGTGCCGCGTGCCGCTGCAGGGGGTGGCGGAGCAGGAGTGCCGGCGGGCTGCGGACGCCGCAGAGGCCACGTGAGCGCTGCGAGTGCACTTGATGACGGCAGATGTGCCGCCATCTGCTTTCCCTGTTATCGACCACTCTTGCTGTGCAGAATGCATTGTGTGTGTGTGTGTGTGTGTGTGTGTGTGTGTGCGTGTGTGAGTGTGCCGCTGACTCCCTTCAAATGCCTCTGGTCTTTTGCGGTCCCGCTCGTCCACCTTCCTGGCAGCTACCGGGCGGAGTTTGATGAGGCAGTGGTAGCGGAGGAGCCGGAGCTGGAGCGGGAGCACACGCGGTGAGGCGCCGCCGATGATTGCGGATTATCCATGAGGAGCAGGGCGAGGTACATGCTTTGACCGATGACACTGGCCGTGGCAAGCGAGATTCTCTCAACATTCGTGACTAGCTGAGCGCACACGGCAGACTTGGCGACTGACCAAAGGGTACATCGTCAGAGCAGGCTGCTGTGTGGGCGGTCGGCAGCATGAGCCCCACACCCAGTCTCTTGCTGTCCTGAAAAGTACATCACAACCCCGACCGCCGACAACGGCCGCAGAGCGCTCACGGTCGCGAAGGGCGCGTTCGCCGCGGTGGCGATCGGCGAGTGGAGCATCCGGCGCGCGAATGAGGCGCGGTTCCTGGACGCCTGCGCGGCCAGGTGAGGGGCAGCGCCCAAGTTGCTGCCTGTCAGGTCTCGCAGATGTGCAGAGGTCGGCCGACGCAGGGTTCAGCAGGCAGATGAGTCAGCAGCATAGGCTGCGGTGGGGTTTTGACAGGAGCCGCAGGACTTTTGGAGTCAGCGGCGGGTGCAGCGCTCGGGGCACGACTGTACAGACCTCGACGCTTGGCTATGCTTTGGGCATTGCTGGCTTTGGGAGGCTTCGCAGGATTACAAAACCCACAAAAGAGGGCAAAACTCAGGTGGGGACACCTGCTGCCCAAAACAACGCGCAGGTTCGCGCAGGTGCGGGCACGCAAGCTGGCTGAGGCGGCGGCCAGCGTGAACGACCTATTGCTGAGCGCCAGCAGCGCCCTGGCGGCGGCAGCGACGACGCCGGCGGCGGCGTCGGCGAGGAACGGCGGCGGAGGGGAGGGGGCCGACCCAGAGGCGGGGCCGGAACCGGCCAGTAGCGCGGCGGAGGTGGAGGCGCAGGTGGGTGTCGCGGCAGGGGCCCACATGCACGAGAGGGGCAGCGGGCACGCAGCTGATTGCAAGAGCCGCCGTTCTGGCGGGCTCCCGCCCCGCTGACCTGCATGCACCGGGTATCACAGCCACTCTTTAAGGATAGCAACCCCAGTTCAGGACAGCGGCCACGGCCCCGTTAAATTGACCAGGCACGCGCCGCCGGCCCCCCCGCGTCGCAGTTGTCGCGGTTCCTGGACGGTTACGCGTCGTCGGCCTGTGGCCCCACCAAGTGGCCCAAGCTGATTGAGTTTATGAAGCACACGTACCCCGCCCTCGCACGTGGCGCGGCTGCCGCGGCAGAGGAGCGGGTGGGCGGCGCGGCTGGGCGAGGCCCGCGGCCGGGCGCACAAGGCATTGCAAAGCTGCCCCGCTGGACACGGCACGGCGGGCGGAGCTCGGGGCCAGGGTGGTGCGAGCAGGCGGGGTGCTCGGGTTGCCTTTAATGGCGGTCAAACAATGGTCAACGCTGACTGAGCTCACCCCCCCCCCTCTCCCGTCCCCCGGGTGACCGATTCAAGGGTCGGCTCGAGGCGCGGCGGCTGCAGGCCGAACTGGACTGCGTGCGGGCAGAGGCAGCGGCGGCGGGCGCGCGGGGCGACGGGCTAGCGCGGCAGCTGGTCGCCGCGGAGGCCCAGGTGCGGCGTCCCCACGAGCTCAACGCGGCGTTACGTGCATGGGCAGCAGCGGTGCCTCTTTCCCGCCAGCCTTTGCGCCGCCAATCGTGACAGCCGCAGCTGCCGCGCTGCCGCCTGTGCCGCAGGCAGAGGCGTCGGGGCGCCGCGCGGCGGAGCAGGCGGCTGAGCTGGCGGACCTGCGGGTGGCGCTGGAGAGGGAGCGGTCCAAGGTGCGGGGCGGCGGGCGGGCGGGCTGGCGTGGGGCGGGCGCAGGCGCGGGCGCACTCTCTTGAAAGCAGCAGCAGCAGAACGGGCCACACACACGCGCGCGCACACACACACACACATGCAAACTTGCTGGCGAGCGTCACCCTTGTGCTGGCCTTACACGATCACCCACTCGACAGCTCTCTCTGCATCCCTGCTTCTCTGCATGTGTGTGTCTCTCTCGCCCACACACGCGAACACACACAAAAACACACACACACACACAAACAAATACGCACACGTGTGTGAAACCTCCACGTCACCCGGATCCTGAACCTTGCGCCCCACTACTCGTTCCCCCTCCTGCGGCAGGCCCTGTTGCTGGAGGGCCACCTGACAGAAGCGCAGCTGATAGCAGAGAAGAGGCTGCTGTGCGCGCAGCAGGTGGGGCCTTGTCCCACACACCTCCTGTTGAGTGTCAACATGTTACACAGCAGGACTCACTCTGGTCAAACGTTGTCCAGGACCAGGCTGCGCCATCAGAACACGCAGCTGGAGGAGTTGTGATGCCGCAGCGTGACACACATCTCGTTACACGCACGGCGCCGCCCCCAGGAGTCCGAGGCGCGGGCGCGGGCGGAGGCGGAGCAGCACGGCCAGCAGGCGGTGGCGCTGGGGGCGCAGGCCGCGGAGGAGCGGCGGCGGGCGGAGGCGCTGTCAGCAGAGGTGGTGGGGCCGATGCACAAGAGCGGGGCCCATCGTCTGTGCTGTGCACAGCCGTTGGGTGGCGGGGCTCCGATCGGTGCACCACACAGCGTCGGCGCACCACAGGCGACATTGGACGGTTGTCGGCAATGCTGATGCCTGCGTCACTCACCTGAATCAACCGAGCTGATTTGAACGTGCGGGTCGGGTCGTCCTCTCAATCTTGCTGCCTGCCCCAGGTGTGCGAGCTGCGAAGCCAAGTCGAGGGATTGACCGGCCAGCTGGCAGCGGCGCAGGTGGGGCTCTCGACGCGCCCGCTCATGCCACTGCTGCGGCTGATGCCTGCACCCCACCCTCCATTCGTGCGAGTCCAGAACACCTGCCACTACCCCCCTTGCGCTGGGCTGACCCGCTGCACGCCGTCAAGACGGTGGTCACGTGGACTGCCGATATCACATGAGAATCGCGCCGAGGCGCATGCGGCGCTGTGATCAGGCACTCGGTACACTAGGTCTGCCTGCATGCCTACAGCCCGTCCTCCCAATTCCGTCCTGTGCCCCTTGGTCCGAAGGACGAGGCCGCCAGCTACCTGTCGTCCTTTGGCGGCGCCAAGCAGGAGCAGGCAGCGCTGCAGCGGGCACTGGAGGAGGCCTCCGCCGAGATTACGGGGCTGCGGCTGGCCGGGGCTGCGGCCGCGCGCGTGAGCGCGCGGACTGTCGCTTGACGCGCTTTCGCGATGAAATTCGCATCAGAAGCATCGCAGCTTCCCCTTGATGAGTGAATCCAGGGTTGCTACACCCCGGCTTTCGCTGCGAGGGGTCGAGTCGCTACGCAGACGAGTCGGCGCTAGCCCCAACCCCAACCCAAGCACGCACGTCTTGAGGCTGGCCCGAGCCGCGCCCCGGCGGCCGCCCCCCCCCCCCCCCCCC